AATTCATCATCCGCCATTCTCTCCACTGCTGGATAAAGACCTCCCACCCCCACGAGCCGCCACTATCCCCCGTGGTTCAGAGCTGCCACCGCCTGCCTCCTGCGCGTGAAACAGATTTCATTGCTCCATCTCCGCGGTGATCGCTGTCTTTGTATATAACATTTTTTTTTTTTAAACAGTCAACCACATGGAGCGGAAAGCATCCTCCTGAAGCTCTCTCCGTCCAGCAGAGCCTCGTGTCAGGCCAGATTCGTCGAAGCCACAAATTCTCGCACCATCCTGGAGGGAGCTCTCTGCGTGCTCTGCAAGCAGAGCCACTTTCTCTCGCCATCGGCGTGATCACGAGTGTTGCACGGAGGCCCACCCCAAGTTACCGACATTGTTTGACTTGCAATCCCACTGGGATTGTTGCACGCAGCATTGATATTCGGTGCTTTTTCTGGAGGACTTTGCTGTTTTTTTCCCCCTGGGTTTCTTCTGTTTGCGCGTAGTCGCTTCAAGATGTTTTCTTGCTCATGTTTTTTTGTTTGTTGCTGTTGCACCCGATTCAAGAGCCGAATGGCTCCACAGGGCCATAGCTAATAAATGAAAACTGAAATCTCACGTTGCTCCGATGTAAGAATCCGCCTGGCGTCTGCCCCGATTTCGTTTCTCCTATCTCCTCGACTCACGTCCTCTCTGGTGCATTCCTTTACCCTGGGACCAGCGGCCTTCATCGCTTCCAGTGACGAGTCCTGCCCACTCCCACTTTAACCTTTCTGCACCTTTTAAACGACGTCATTAACCTGCGTATGTTCTCCAATACAAACGCACCGTCTCGCCGTCTCTCACTGCAATTCCTACGTTTGCTCCATGTCAAATTAAACACGATGGACAATGCACACTTTTGCCATTCACGGTTCAACTCGGCCGAATGCATTGAAAAAAAACGAATGTTATTTAACAACAACAAAAAAGAATCTGCCATCGTTGGTGACGACTCGGGTTGAGGTCATTAACCCGAATGGGGGAGCCCAGTGCGGTGTTCTGTGTAGATGCCCACGTGTCTGACCTTGTCCAGGTATCGGCGAGTGGCATAACGCGGTGATGGGAAGCTTTGGTCGAATAATTTTATAATTGTTCATAATGGAGGGGGTTTTTTGGGGGGGGTTAGATCACGTAAGTGTGTCATAAAAACCCGCCACAGCCAACTAGCAAGGGTTGTCACGTAAACTGAGCGCGCAAATTCGTCACTGGTACAGCACACCGGTATATATTTACGCGATCTAACCCAAAAACCTCTTATTATGGATGATATTGGTCACGAAAGCATCCTACGTGTTAAACATTATACAGTGAAACCTCGGATTGCGAGTAACTTGGTCTGCGAGTGTTTTGCAAGACGTGCAAAAATTGTAAATAAATTTGATAAACGAGCGAGGGTCTTGCAATACGAGTAGTACGTGCACGCTTTGTACTGCCGAGCGTCACGTGATCACAGCTGAGCCAATGGTTCTTCTCTCTCTCGCTGCGGGATTGTGGGTAATCGCTTTGTCTGCCGAGCATCACGTGATCACAACTGAGCCAATGGTTCTTCTCTCTCGCTGCGGGATTGTGGGTAATCATCTCCCATGCTCGGTCTCAGTCGGCGTGCCTCACTCGTATAGTTAACATCCGTGCGAGCGTATACTGTTTACTATAGTACTATAGTGTTGTGACCACGTGAATACTGTTTACTACAGTACTATAGTGTTGTGACCACGTGTATACTGTTTACTGCAGTACTATAGTGTTGTGACCACGTGTATACTGTTTACTATAGTACTATAGTGTTGTGACCACGTGTATACTGTTACTACAGTACTATAGTGTTGTGACCACGTGTATACTGTTTACTACAGTACTATAGTATTGTGACCACGTGTATACTGTTTACTATAGTACTATAGTGTTGTGACCACGTGTATACTGTTCACTACAGTACTATAGTGTTGTGACCACGTGTATACTGTTTACTACAGTACTATAGTGTTGTGACCACGTGTGTACTGTTTACTACAGTACTATAGTGTTGTGACCACGTGTATACTGTTTGCTACAGTACTATAGTGTTGTGACCACGTGTATACCGTTTGCTACAGTACTATAGTGTTGTGACCACGTGTATACTGTTTACTACAGTACTATAGCGTTGTGACCACGTGTATACTGTTTGCTACAGTACTATAGTGCTGTGACCACGTGTATACCGTTTGCTACAGTACTATAGTGTTGTGACCACGTGTATACCGTTTGCTACAGTACTATAGTGTTGTGACCACGTGTATACTGTTTGCTACAGTACTATATTGTTGTAACCACGTGTGTACTGTTTACTACAGTACTATAGTGCTGTGACCACGTGTATACCGTTTGCTACAGTACTATAGTGTTGTGACCACGTGTATGCTGTTTGCTACAGTACTATATTGTTGTAACCACGTGTGTACTGTTTACTACAGTATAGTGTTGTGACCACGTGTATACTGTTTACTACAGTACTATAGTGTTGTGACCACGTGTATACTGTTTACTACAGTACTATAGTGTTGTGACCACGTGTGTACTGTTTACTACAGTACTATAGTGTTGTGACCACGTGTGTACTGTTTACTACAGTACTATAGTGTTGTGACCACGTGTATACTGTTTGCTAAAGTACTATAGTGTCGTGACCACGTGTATACTGTTTGCTACAGTACTATAGTGTTGTGACCACGTGTATACTGTTTACTATACTACTATAGTGTTGTGACCACGTGTATACTGTTTGATACAGTACTATACTGTTGTAACCACGTGTATACTGTTTATTACCGTACTATAGTGTTGTGACCACGTGTATACTGTTTCCTACAGTACTATAGTGTTGTGACCACGTATATACTGTTTGATACAGTACTATAGTGTTGTAACCACGTGTGTACTGTTTACTACAGTAGTGTTGTGACCACGTGTGTGTGCGTAAAGCATTTTTATTGTGTCCAAGTGTAGTGACTGTTCTTTAGAAAAGCACCGCCCAAATAAGGCTGTAGCAGTGCGAGCGATGAATCTGTTTAACGACAATGCAATGTCACATTTCCGCGAAACCCTCAAAAGGATGGAAAAGCGAGCGTCAATAAAATAGGTTCCTTGTTAAAGTCGCACAAAAAGAAAAAAGATTCCAGTGAGCCAACAGATGGCAGTGATTCCGTTAGTGACAGTGAAAGTCGTCCTACACAAACAGGTCCCTGCAGGGTGGGCTGGTAGGAACATTGGAATTTTGCGCAATTTCATTTTTACACCCCAACAGCACGAGATTTCACTTCGTTAAAGTATTGAAAGGGGACGGACGGACACATTAATCTATTGCAGGCTGGTACACTCAGTTTACAACTTCGTTCCTACCAGTATAACCCTCCTCTCTCCTCCACACCAGCCACGATTCAATTTAATTAATACATTTGATTATTTCATATTAAATTTAAATACAAATATAAAAAGGTACAGTATTTTGTATTAATCATTTTTTTTATATTTTTGGGTTGTGGAACGAATCATCCGAGTTTCCATTATTTCTTATGGGGAAATTCGCTTTGATATACGAGTGCTTTGGATTACGAGCACGTTTCCGGAACGAATTATGCTCGCAATCCAAGGTTCCACTGTAATTGTTATTTATCCGAACAGCCCAACGTTCCGAAACACCGGCTGAGGGCCCCCTTGGTGACGCCACTGGGACGGGACCACTGCCTCGCGCGATCGGCTCCAGGCTGGGCCCCACTCGTGCGGCACTCAGCGAGTGCCCTCAACAGCGAAGCCATCCGTGGGGACGCCACGGTGGCTAGGAGATGTTAACTACCTCGCGCGATACGCAGGAGGTCGTGGGTTCGGTCCCGACCCTGACGCCCGTGGATTTTTCCCCGGGTCCATTCGGGTTTTCCCCTCCACGTTGAGAAACGTGCGTTTAAAGAGTATTTGGCTGATGTGCATTTCCACGCGATAAGCCACTTCGTTGAGCAATCATTTGTGGCCAGGTCGCTTCTGAAAAATAACTATATAGCTCAGTGGGCTTTACCTGGTAAAATATTTGTTTTTTATTCGACTGCAACTCGAGAAAGGCATTTTTTGACCGTTAGTTTAACATAGGAACTGCAGTTGTAACCTCAAGCCGTGTTAAATGCCATTTTAATTGCCAAAGGCGTGTTCCGCTCACGAGTGGCGTGCGCCTAACGTGGTTATTGTGGATTGCTGGCAAGATTCCCACTGCACAGCGTTCTGGCTGTGTATCCGCCATGCGTCGAGACAACGTCCTCGTGTGTGTTCCATGCCACTGCTGAGCCCACCCTCCCTTGCCAGGTCACTCGCTCCCCGCCGTGCCGGCCGCTTAGGCCACCACCACCACCACCGTACGTAGCCAACCGTGCTAATCGGAGGTGCGGGGGAAGGACAATGAACTAAACACAAAGAGCAGTTCTCACCCCAAACCAACCGGGCAGACGGAAGAAATGAACACGATAAACAACGCCCTCTTGCCACATTTACAAACGCAGTTTAACACGTAGGCTTTCGCGACCAATATTCATAATAAAGGTTTTTGGGTTAGATCGCGTTTATTTATAAATGTGTCGTAACCCTCCACCACCCGAGGCCGAGACCGCGAACGCTGTACGTGACACTTTTTTTGCTGATTGGCCGTGTCGGGTGGTGGAGGGTTACGACACATTTATAAATAAACGCGATCTAACCCAAAAACCTTTATTATTTACAAACGCGTTAACTTTTCTCACTAATCGAGCATCAAACTATTTCGACGTTTGCCCGAAATGTTCTATGAATTGGCCCATTACCCGAAAAGCCGCCGACTCTCCAGCGCTGCTACTGAGGAGCGCGCCGATTGATTTTTGTTGGTAGTGCTTGTGCACCGCCACGATTATTAACCACGCGGAGGGCGGCTCGCGTCCCACAGCCGAGCTAGGCGCGCACACACACACACAACGGAGTTGTTGCTCGATTTTCTTTTTTATTAAAATTATTCCTGTTGTTCATTCTTTTGACGTTTGTTTACCCGCGCCGCAGGGAGGTTCAAGAGAGTCTTCGTCGGCAGGGTCCTGTCACGTGTTTTTCACGGCAAATGGGTGCCCGCTTGCTGCCGCGTGCGACCCCCGATCGAGCCACTTTGCAGCTACATTCTCAGCATTGGGATTGTGTGGCCGAGACCGCGAACGCTGTACGTGCGTGGCTCTGTTAAAAGGAGAAATCCTCACGCGCGTTGCAAGTGGCAACAGGGAGCGGCCGCAACGCGGGAGCTGTGGAGACCGGCCCAGTGGGCGCCAGCTGTGCCTGCGACCGCGTCAAGCAGCGCTAACGCTTCTTCCACGTGAACTTGCGACGAGCGCCCTCCTGTCCCGGCTTCTTCCTCTCCTTCGTTCTCTGGTCCTTGGTCAACAGTCCGGCTGAGTGCGGAGAGACGAGAGTCAGACCCAGGCTTGGAATGCAAAGAACATTGAACCAACAGACCCGGCGTTCAGCCTCTTGCAGGGGCTACACAGACGCGTAAGCGTGCACGCGTAGCCTTTAAAGGGCTGTTGGGGAAAGTGCTGTTAGTGAGCAGCACCTATAAAGGCCGGCACGGCAAAAAAGGGGGTATCTGGCCAGTACCACACATGGCTGCCTTTGTCTCTCCAGTGGCGAAGTTTACACATTGCACCAGGTGCTAATTTGAGGCCGAGTCCAGGAGCGGTTCAGATAATCGTCACTGGTGTTGGCCGTGAGCAGGAATCGAACTGGGGTCGCTGGGTTTGCAGCTCAGCGTGCGAACTGCTACACTACTGCTCCCCACACACACTCGCACACACTCACTCGCTCAAACAAAGATCCCCCGTATAGCCTTCGCAGACTGTTGCGGGGCAAGTGCTGTGAGCGAGCACCTATTAAGGCCGGCACGGCAGACACAAAGACGCACGCACTTACACACACTCGCACGCTCGCTCACACTCACCCCTGCGCATGCCCTCGATGAGGTGCGGCTCCAGGAAGGTGGTGAGCGCGAGGGCGAGGGCGTGGCGCACGGCACCGGCCTGCGCCGAGCTGCCCACGCCGCTCACCTCGCACTCCGCGTCGTGCGCGCCCAGACGCCCGGCAAATTGTAGCGGGAACATGAGCTGCATTCTGCGTCACGCACACAGAAAGACAAAGGTCCCCCGCGTAGCCTTCGCAACCGTCCGGGCGAGTGCTGTTAGAACGCAAGCCGGCATGGCACACGAGGCGTTTTTGTCTCCCCGGTGCTGATGCGTATTCATGTTCCCGTGTGAACTTTGCTCATCGATTCCTCCACCCGTGGACGAGGACTCAGTGTGCCTGGCTGTCTTATCTACACCATGTTCATTCACCACACTGCAGACCACAACAACACTCACCCACTCACTCATCCACTGACTGACCCAACCACCCACCACACTGCAGACCACAACAACTCACCCACTCACTCATCCACTGACTGACCCAACCACTCACCACACTGCAGGTGACAACACTTCTCTGCTCCTTCTCTCCCACTGCTTCGCTTGGGAATTCCTTCCCCTCGTTCTCTTTTCCAAACTTCTCATTATAATATTGCTCACTTCAACAAACGCATTATGCCCTTATCGACTATAACTCGGCGAGTACTGTCTGTGCTGTTTGTTGCTGGCCACTTGGCACACTGGGGCTGTGGGCCGGTTGCAAGCAACCGCTCTTTAAGTTCCGAAGCGGCGTGCCACGCGTGGAGACGTGGGTCGAGTCCCCACCTGTCCTGCAGCTGGGGGAAGTAGTCGACGTGTCCGAGTCCGTTGACCGTGATTTTCCCCGACCCGCTCTCCCACAGCGTCACCTTGGCCCGGGCCTTCTTCCGGAAGCCTGCGGAGGCCCGAAGACACGCGCGAGCTCAATCGCACGCGCGGCCAAGGCGGCGAGAGTCGACGGAACCAAGAGGCGGGTCCGGTCGCTCAACACCCGTGCCGAGCGACGTGGCAGTTCGTTGTCCTTCCCCCCGCGCATGTGATGAGCACAGTTGCTTACGTGTGTAAACGCGTGCAAGTATGCGTGGCTACGTAGGTGCGTGGCTCGAATTGTCCGCACGTGCCGCCACGTGTACGTAGAGCGCGTGTACGTGCGGCGGTGTGCGCGCACAAGGTGACAAAGGAGGCGCGCCTTAATAGTGTGCTCGATGACGACACTTTCCCCATCAATCTATTAAAGGCTATGCGGGGGAACTTTGCCCGTGCGTGCGTGCGTGCGTGCGTTCGTGCGTGCGGTTACCGTTGGCCTCGCTGTACGCGCGCCCCTCCTCGTCCACGCGTCGCTCCGGGATCTCCTGCTGCTGCGACTGCACCTGCAGCGCGACGCGGAAGCGCGACAGCTGCTCGCGCGCAGCCTCTGTGGGGAACGGCTGCGACGCGATTCGCTCGCCCAGCCGCACGAAGCGCGCGTACTGCACGCGCGCACACAACACGGACAAAACTTCCGCGTGTGGCACTCGACGGACCGTTCAACACACCGGTGGGCCAAAGTAGTGAACCATTTGTCCTTTGTAAACGTGACACACTTGTTACTGTTTGGCCGTGTCGGGCGGTGGAGGGTTGCGACACATTTATAAATAACGCTATCTAACACAAAAACCTTTATTATGAATAATATTGGTCGCGAAAGCCTACGTGTTAAAACTCGACAGACCGTTAGCGAGTAGCGCCTATGAAGGCCGGCATAGCGCACATGGGGGCGGTGCGAGTTATTCAGAAAAGCTCCAACGAGTCTCAAGACTTGTTTTCAGGAGAAACTCACAGTTTGGTGTTGGCCGATTCTATTATAATAAGCATTCTCCCACAAATTAAACAAACTCGCACAAAACTCGCACGTGGACAACACAAATGGCAAAGATCCCTTCGATAGCAGATACCTCGCCACCTTTGTCTTCCCAGTGCCGATTATCATACACCGAAGCAGGTACTCATTAAAGGTCGAGTAGACCTAGGGTAGGCCCCAGACCAGTTCAAATGTTAGCTGCCGGCCACAGCTAGCTGTGGCCGGCAACTAAACTCCGGTTGCCCGGTTCCCAACGCAGAGCGCGAAACATTATACCACCACTCCATGAGCACACACACACGCGCATATCCACACAAAGGCACACACACGCGCATATATGCAGAGGTATGTCCACACCAACCTCATTCTACAAGCTTGCCTACCCTGTACCCCACACCACCGCCCTCCAACTCAAGATCGCCGCTTCACCCAAACTTCCAGGCGTCTCACGAGAGGCGGCTGCCTCTGGGAGGGACTGTGACCCCACAATGCACGGCGAGAGAGCAAGGGGGAGGGACTGTGAACCCACAATGCACGGCGAGAGAGCAAGGGGGAGGGACTGTGAACCCACAATGCACGGCGAGAGCGCAAGGGGGAGGGACTGTGAACCCAGAATGCACGGCGAGAGAGCAAGGGGGAGGGACTGTGAACCCACAATGCACGGCGAGAGCGCAAGGGGGGGAGGGACTGTGAACCCACAATGCACGGCGAGAGAGCAAGGGGGAGGGACTGTGAACCCACAATGCACGGCGAGAGAGCAAGGAGGAGGGACTGTGAACCCACAATGCACGGCGAGAGAGCAAGGGGGGGAGGGGTAGGAACACGCACGTCGTGCTCGCTGAGCTGCTCGTTCAGCGACTGCTCCAGCTCCTCTTGCGTCACCCAGCGGCTGCTCGGCAGGGCCCTGCGCACGGCAGTAGGCAGACACGCGGTGAGACTCGCCGTGGTACGCAGCGTGCCGCGTATCACAGGGTACACAGAGTTCAACATACACGCACACAACAGGGGGACGATAACGTACAAACTCCACGCAGAACGGCGCCCGAGTCGGGAATCGAACCCAGGGACTTCTTGCTCTCGAGGTGCGAGCGTTACCACTGCGCCACCACCCAGCCTCTGCTGCTCTTGGTGTTGTTGTTGTTGTGGTGCGACTCTTACACAGGCTTAGCGTCACCGGACGTGTAACCTTTACTCCTCATCTTGTCTTCCTCAGCCTCAACCTGCAGCAGCTGGGAGTACAAGTCCTGCAAACAAAGACAAAGATCCCCCGTATAGCGTTAACAGGGTGTTGGGACAAGTGCTGTTTACGAGCACCTATGAATGCTGAAACGCCACACGAGTGGGTGGGTTTCCAACACCATGCCCGTCAGCCTTTATCTTGCCAGTGCTGGTGTCTACACGTGGTAACAGGTATTCATTTAAGGCTGAGTCGACCTAGGGGATGCCCAGAACCTGTTCAGATCACCATCAACGGTATTAACCGTGAGCGAGACTCGAAATCGGGTTGCCTGGTTCGTAGTGCAGCGCGCTATCCGCTGACACACGTACGTACGAGCACACACGTACGTACGTACGTGCATGAGGGAGTAGTAATTGGGCTTCCCCGTGTAGAAGAGGTAGTGGAATGGACGTCCATCTTCTCCCCACTGGATGACTGTGAACGCGCATGCAGACACACGCAGACACACGCACAACCGCACACGGACAGACACACACGCAGACACACGCAGACACACACGCACAACCGCACACGGACAGACACACATGAACAAAAAACACAAGTAACTTTTGACTTAAAACTTTCGTGACTGCAGAAATTAATATTCTTTGGTTCTTTCGGTCAAGTCACGTAGATAGAAAAATAATAATACAAAATAAAGTTAATAAAAATAAAAAAACACTCGTGCAGACTGTAGCCTGGTTATTAGCCATTGCTAGTCTACATTATAGACTGCCAGTACACTCACCAAACTTAATAACCAGGCTACAGTCTACATTATAGACTGCCAGTACACTCACCAAACTTAATAACCAGGCTACAGTCTACATTATAGACTGTCAGTACACTCACCGAACATAATAACCAGGCTACAGTCTACATTACAGACTGCCAGTACACTCACCAAACTTAATAACCAGGCTACAGTCTACATTACAGACTGCCAGTACACTCACTCGGTTAGGAAACAGGCTACAGTCTACATTAGTGGATTTTTGTTTTTTAGTATTTTTTTTTCACTTTATTTTGTATTACTATTTTTCTATCTACGCGACTTTACCGAAAGAACCAAAGAATATAAACACCAAAAACTCAGTCTTTCACAGTCAGGCCGAGTGATGTTAGTGAACACCTAGTCAAGCTTGCGTTGCACACAAGAGGATGCTGATGTTCACACAATAAAACCAGGTACTCATTTAAGGCAGACTCAACCTAGAGGATATCACTGACAACTGACGTTAACCAAGGCCACGAGTCTAACTCAAGTTGCCGTGTTCATAGCGCAGTGCTACAACCGCTAGGCAACCACTCACCACACACATGCACACTTGACACTCACATCCACACCAACGCAGTCATATCTCAAGAGCATTGATGATTATTGACTGGGGTTCGAACTCACAATTTGCTGATTGCGAGTCAAGTGCTCTAACCACTCGGCCGGATATACTTGGAGGTCCTGTCTAGACACGTGGACCCTGCTGCAGACTGAATAGCGAATTAGCGGAGGTGTTTAGCCTATTATCTGTATTTTACAAAACCCTTTTAATGACTTATTAACAATCTAACGGCTAACAGGGTGAGCTGCACGCATGGTGAACTTTTTTTGCACCGCACGTTGCCAACCGATTAGCTCATTGCTCAATATCTCTTTTTCCTTATCCACTAATAAAAAGACAATGGAAACAGCTTCCCTTTATTCATTCCTTCCTCCTATGAGCGTATAAATGCTCAACGCTCGTTAATCGATTGGCCTAAAATCTCAAGATAGGACCACAGAGCTTGGGGCAATTATTGGTTAGCGGCTGTTCCGTTGCCCGCTTTCTCGCTTGCCCGCGTGTGCGTGCGGAATCTGTGCGAGTCACAAATCCTACGGCTGCGATCCGACATGCAAATTGCATGATGAATGACACAGCTATCTAAAAACATAAAAACACTCTCATTATTATAACTGTGGGAGAAATAGCCTGCCAGTTGGAACAATTCACAGATCGGCCAAGCCCCCCGCAAGAAACAGGAATTGGGGAGAAGAGGGCTCTTGAGCGCATGAGGAGTGCTGCTGCGTTGTTGTTCAGGTGACTCCGCCTCTGTACCTTTTTGCTTGGGGAATATCTGCTCTGGATGCTGCAAAACAAATGGAACGTAAATGAGCGTAACATTCACTCGGATGCGATTATTCGTGTACAGGTTGTCCTCGCTTAACACGGTGGTAGATCCATGAGGTTTTTTTCGGGGTGAAATCGCGTAAATATAAACGTGTCGTTAAAGCCCGCCACCACCCGACACAGCCAATTAGTAAGGTTTGTCACGTAAACAAAACATGCCAATTCGTTACTCGTACAGCACACCACACCGGTGTATTGGAGAGTAAACCCACAACATTTACAATTCGAGTATGACGTTTCATCATCAGTGGTAGATGCGTTCCTGAAAAGTGCCGAGTTAAGCGAAATTAACGTTAAGCGAACACAATTTCCCCATGACTAAAGAAACTATAATATTTTCCGAGATTCACGTATGCCCGCATAGTAAGTTGGGGGGAAAATAACCGAGGGAACGCCGCCGCATAACTGTATCATTCTGCGTACTGTATCGTACCGCCCAGCCACGCAGCTAGTTCGTGGTCGACCGCTCAGAAATCGCGTTGCGATGCGCGTTCCGCGGTCTGTGAAAAGTGTTCCCCAACGGAATGCGCTATAGCAAAAATGCGTTGTGTGAACATGCATTAAGCGAGGACTAACCGTATTCCGATTCGTAATTTATTTTTTGGGTGAGGTGACGTAGTCTGGGCTCATAATGCCTCTCAGGCTCACCCAAGGGTTTTCCATTTCTCTCCTGGTGCCGCGTGTATAACAGAGACAACGATTCCTTGTACCGTGCTCACAGGCTATTCTGTTGGGTGCAAGTTAACGAGTGCCTATTAATGCCAGCACTCCAAACGAGGGGACGGTGTGGCTACCACCACCATACACGGCCACCTCTCTCTCCCCAGTGCTGATGACTACACATTGCACAAGGTACTCACTTTAAGGCTGAGTCGACCTAGGGGAGGCCCAGAACCGGTTCAGATATAAACCACTAGTGTTAGCTCTGGATGGGAATCGAACTAGGGATATCTACTTTTTAGTGTAGTGTGCCGACTGCTACGATACCACTCCTCATTGATACAATATAAACACAATACACATACAGAAACAGACCTCTGTAGCTATAAAAATCATTCGGGTCAGCTGAGAGTATAGCTCTTGCTTGTTTCTATGGAGAAGGCCCGTCTCTGCATGGGAAAGTCACCGATTTTCATTGCTGGAATAATTTGCTGAAATGGCCAAAAAAACCCATCTTGAGTTAACCTCTCTACACCAAACAGGTCACGACGCACCAGAGACCGTGCTTACAACCCAATAAGATATCCGTTCAGACCATCATCCCTCTGGGGTTGATAAAATAAGCATTAACTTGTGGGACGTAAACACAGGTATACCTATGAAGAGGCTGGGCAACACCACGGGAAGGTGGAATTTCCACTCCTGCCTCAGAACCACCAATAGAAATGAGCGCTGTTCCAGTTCATTTGAGCAGAAACACTTTTGACCTTTGACATCAACACACAGTTACTTATACGCATACACACACAGTGCGGAATAAAAAAACAACGAGATTTTTGATACACGTTACAATACCTTCATTATGGGACGGGCCCTCTTCTCGAACAGCCCCGAGGGGAAGAGATATTCAATCGCTTTCTGAAAGAGAAACAAACAGCATCAGTCTTTGTACTGTATCCCTCAAATGCACACATTGGCACTGCTCTGGGAGATCAGTTTGAAAGAGGTGGTTCATCACGGCCGTGTCAGTCACATGGACCATGAACTCACAAGACATGGGTTCAAACCCCGGGTTTGTGGGTACCTCTTTCACTGGCATCATAATGGCTGTCAGAACACTTGGCCGGCATAGCTCAGGTGCTTACACGGTGTATATGGGACGAGGGTGGGTGCGATGTATGCCTGTAGAGGTAGTGGATCAGACACATGCTGAGACTCCCAGACTCACTGTGTTGCAATTTGGCCCGGAGACGGCAGGAGAACGAGTGGGACCATAAAGCTGTCTCTAGGGACAATTTGTGTTTTACTCCTTTAAATTATCTTGTCCAAACATCCTCACGCAAGCACCTCCTTAAACCGAGTCTTGAGCATCAATGAGGTTTTTCTAAATAGATGTTATACCACGTGTTTTCCCGTTGGGAATATCCATCAGCTGTGGAGGGTGGGCACAATCCAGTCCCAGAACCTGAACAGTGACTCTCAGTGGCAACATCATCACCCCTGAGATATGAAGGACCAGGCCGAGGTATTGACACTAAATAGTCAACGGTGCATGCTCAGGAGAACTCTCAACGAAACCCCGCCCTGTGCTTGAACCGAGGATCGCCGGGGGTCCTCGCTCAGCGACGTTGACCCGGCCCGTATGAACCTCCCCGAGACGGGACTGAGACCGAGCGAGACTCCCGGCCCGGGCCCTCAGCAGTGCCGGCACGGCGTCTCGGCAGCAGAGCGGCGCTCATTGGGACTCGCAGCGTGGTGCGTGCGTTGTTCCTCACGTCGATGTGCTCCTGCGTGAAGGATTCCTCATCCTCGCCCATCATGTTGGCGAGGTGGCGCCGTCCCAGCTCGTAGTCTCGCAGCTGCTGGGCCAGGAACTCCTCCGAGAGGCGGTCGGCGGCGCCGCCACCGCCACTCACGGTGGAGCCGGGACGGGCAGCCACGTACGGGCGCCGGGAGCTCAGCCAGGCGCCTGTTCCGCGCGCGCACGCCTGCACGCTCACGCGCAGTAGCAGCAGCATTATCTTAATCGGCAGACGTCGTAAAATTACCATCAGCAGCAGCATCTTTTTTATTCCAAGTGGGGTGACAGTGACAGATGCAGAAACGGTGGCAATGTCACCAATATCATCAACACGGACTAAATTAATCATGAGTTACATAAAACAAAAGCAGGATCATCATCACTCGCACCATGAACACGAGCAGTGACATTTTTTACCAGCTTCGTCATCATTACCACCAGTGACTTCACCAATAGCAATAACATCATCTTCAAATGTAACAACATCCCACCAGCAGCAACATTACCGTCGGCATTATCTTCCCCAGCACCGTCACCAGCAAAAAAAAAACTTCATAAGCATCACCACCAGCAGCATCATCAACATGACAGCATCATCACCAGCAGCACCATCATCATGGCAGGATCACCACCAGCAGCAGCGTCATCAACATGACAGGTTCATCATCAGCACCATCATCATGGCAGGATCACCACCAGCAGCGTCATCAACAGTACAGCATCATCACCAGCAGCATCATCACCAGCAGCATCATCATCACCAGCATCATCATCAACATGACAGCATCATCACAGCAGCCATCATCATCAACATGACAGCATCATCGCCAGCAGGAGCATCACCTGCAGCATCATCAACAGAACAGCATCATCACCATAACGACGGCATCATCACCATAACGACAGCATCATCAACGGGAAAGCATCATCGCCAGCAGCATCAATACCAAGCACCGGCACCGCGAGCAACATCGCCCCCGCGCTGTGCGCTGAGGGGCACCGTGAGGTCACGGGGCAGGTGACAAGAGCCAGCGACGCGACCTTCTGAAATTATTTAAACAAAATGCTTGAGAGCTATAACTGGAAACTCCACCTTACGAGGGTGGGGATATGCCTGCTGTCTCCCTTCGTTGAACAAAATCCACAATTGACTCCACACACGCTTGTACCCGTTATACTGAGCCCGGGGCCGTGAATGATCATCGGGCTGAGTTAACCCGAACCCGGAATATTAACTCGCGACCTTCTATACCGATAGCGGGGGCGCATCAAACAGCAGCAGGGCCCCGTGAAACCCGCGCCACACCGCGCCACACCGCGTCTCCCCCGCTCAAGGCGAACACGGGGACGGCGCTTATCTCCCGCGGTGACAATTCCCCATTCCCGTGGCGGGACCAATGACATTCACGGCAACAGCAGCAGTGCGCCGCAACGAGAGGAGCGGACGGACGCTCTCTCACGGGTGCCATAAATACAAAACTCACGTCGACCAGGGAGCGGCCGCGTCTCCCCGAAGCGGGGATCGAACCGCGAACCCTGAGCAGAGAGGCCGAGGCGCGGAACCACGCCGCTGCGGGCGCGGACATCTTGCTACTCCCGCAGCGCCTGCACGGCGACCGCAGTGCGCATGCGCGCCGAGCCGCCATCTTACTTCCCGTGAGGCGCGAAAGCCGCCATCTTACTACTCCCCACAGTGCGCCTCAGCGCGCATGCGCGACGAGTTGCCATCTTGCTACTCCCATTAGGCGCGGGCAGCCATCTAGCTACTCCCTACAGTGGGCCGCCACGCGCATGCGCATCGTGCTGCCATCTTACTACTCCCATGCGGCGCGCGAGCCGCCATCTTACTACTCCCCCCACAGTGCGCCTCAACGCGCATGCGAGACGAACCGCCATCTTACTATTGCCTTGCAGCGCGCGAGCCGCCATCTTACTACTCCCCACAGTGCGCCTCAACGCGCATGCGCGCCGAGTCGCCATCACAATCGGAATCTGTATAACAATAGGGTTTAGCCTTGCTGGCGATGAAACAGGTGTGTTAAGATGCTAAATCCACACGTACTTGTGGTGAACATGCAAACAATAACATGCTCTGGTAGTATGCGACGCATTGTCTTTTAAACCAATTAGTTCCACACCAGAGACAGCTTTCTTGAGAGCCGCAGTCTCAAACAGGCGAACAGCACCAATACAATGGACTGTCAACATCTGATTCACACGGATTCAGATTGTAAATGTCGTGGCTTGGATCTCCAACACACGGCGGTGTTGCTCTATTAGTGACGAATTACGAGTTTGTCTGTGTCGGGTGGTGGCGGGTTTAACGACACAGCATTTATATATACACGATCTAACCCCAAAAACAACCCTGATTATGAATGAGAATCTGGGACTGCACAAGGCACCCACGGCCGTGTCAACAACCCGCTCGGTTTAGCCGCAGTCTTGTACAGGGACATTTGCCGTTTCAATACAAACAAATCTCACGTGTTTGTTTTTCCCTCTCGTGATGGGGCTTTGCAGAATGAACGTTGAGATGTTCAAGGGCACGGGGCAACCGATAAGGTCTCAATTGGCCTGCAATAAGCTAGGCACTGATAAATGGTTGACAGGTATGGGAATCCGATGAGCTATGAAGCTCTTTGATCACAGATATCCAGTGGCGGGCGCGTGTCAAGAAGGTTACATCAAACAATACGAAACACACAACAGGTTTATTAAAGTTCGGCTAAACACAGTTTTGGTTCACGGCACACAAACAAACACATGTTAACGAGTACACAAATCAATATGTATCGATCTGCGAGGGTGACCCGACCGGCTTTGTCATTGGACGACGGTGACGATGACCTTTTGACTTCGCTGCAGTTTCTCCTCCTCGGCTGCCGACAGCAGCAGCTCGATTTTTGCACGAGGTCTGGGCAGGGAGAATGATTAAATAATAACATGTGTTAACATGATAACTGTTAATATACTAAGTGTTAACATACTAAGTGTTAACATACTAAGTGTTAACATACTAAGTGTTAACATACTAAGTGTTAACATGATAAGTGTTTAACCAACACATACTTCACCTAGAATGGAACTTTCTACAAACTGAGGGCACCCCAATGGGCTCCCCCCTATCTCCGGTTGTAGCCAACGTTTTCACTGAGAAATTTCAGACTGACGCCATCCAGACTGCCACTCTACGCCCGACCTTATGGAAGAGGTACGTGGATGAGACTTTTGTCATCTGGCCACATGGCCGGCCTGCTCTAGACCAATTCCTCGACCACATCAATTCCATACACCCAGCCATCAGATTTACTATGGAAGTAGAAAAAGATGGCAAGCTACCCTTTTTGGATGTCCTAATTAAAAGGAGACCTGATGGTTCAATGAGCCACTCTGTCTACAGGAAAGCTACCCATACGGGTGCTTACTTAAAACCGGATTCCCACCACCATCCATCACAGAAGAATTCCCACAACAAGACTCTATACCATAGAGCCCAATGCATTTCCGACCAGGAACACATTGCCAGTGAACTCAAGCACGTACACCAAGCTCTCAAGGCTAATGGTTACTCCGACTACACAATCCACAAAGCCATCACTCCAACCATGAAGAAGGGTCCTCTTGAGGAGCCATTCAAAACCATCAACTGACCCTACATTGCGGGGGTCACAAAAAAGATCTTCAAAATCCTAAATAAACACAAGATCCAGGTCCGATTCAACACAGTACATAAAATCCGTGATCTGGTTCCGTCTGTAAAAGATGTGGTTCCAGACATACAGTACCTGGGCGTCTACAAACTAAGTTGCCTCTGTGGTAGCAGCTACATTGGAGAAACCAAACGTAATATCTCGGACCGCATCCGCGAACATAAAGCAGACTTGAAACACGGTAGGACGAACACCTCAGCCGTGGCAGATCACTGTTATAATTCAGTGGGCTCACATGACATTGACTTCTCCAAGACGGAGGTTCTCTGCAAGCCATCCGGCTACCATGAGAGATTCGTTCATGAGGCCATCCACATATACAAACACAGAGACAATTTCAACCGAGAAGATGGATTCTGGCTATACGCCTTTTGGCGTCATCTGCTCGAGCACCAATTGGGTCGAGGCTCAAAAGAAAGCCGTCCCTTGGTGTGGACCAATCAGTTTCAAGGACAATGCATATATCATAGTATGTTTTTTTTTGCATTTTGACTGCAAGTATTGTGGTTAATGCAGACATGAATCCTTGTAAAAAGGTTTAAGTTTTGTTGCCAGAAAAAAGGGGAAAAACCCTATTATTACATTTTGGAACTGGCAAAGGAGGTCTAATGACATTGGAAAGACGTTATAAACCATTTCGGTTCTTGATTGATTGTATTTTACGGTGACTTTCAGACCGCAGTCCATTCGCTGGCACTGCCTCTTAATACCTTTCACACGACGGTCAATGGTATGGTTTATAGCATGTTGTATAATAATAGTATAACAGTGTAATGTTTAACATAATTCATAAGGCAATATATAGTATCGTAATTGTATAGTGATTATACAGCAGTGTGGTATACAGTAGGGTTGATAGAATAATACATAATGTAATATTACAAGTCTAATATTTTATAGTCTTAAGTATAGGGTAGTGTATAGTGACGTATTGTATAATTCAAGGGTGGGGTTTGTCTATGGCAGTGTATATTACGGTGTATAGTCGTGTAATGTAGAAAAAAGTTTAGTTGGAGACATATCAATATAATGCATGTTAGAGCTTACATTGGGCTGTGTAAACGATATTATACAATGTAGTTTAGATTGGAAGGTATAACATTGTAATGTATAGTAGTCTAGTTTATAGCATAGTTGTAACGCAACACAGGACAGAGCAGCGCATCGTGGCTGCTTCTCTCTCTCCCCCCCTCCTCCGTTCCGAGCATAGATGGACTCGTCCGTCTGAACAAAGCTCGTCGCTTTCCGTGGTGCTAACGTTGAAAAGAAAAAAAAAACGAAACCGCCACTTTTTTCAACATAGAATTGTAATGTATAACAACTTATTGTTAGTAGCTCAGCTGATTGAAGAGCATATTGAGTTTATTGATAACATTGATGTAGTTTATATTTTAGTTGTTTATCAGTTTACTATATGGTATTCATTATATAGTTGTAGTATATACCCAGTTACTTTATGTTAATAGCTCAACTTATTGAAGAATATATTGAGTACATTTATTATATTGATGAAGTTTATACTTAGTTCTTTCACATCGGCTTATTGTATGATAGTTGGGTAGTTGCAGTTCTTTAGTGTCAATATACTAAATGCCTATGTTGATATGTCAACTCTGACTTTAACATAGCTACTTCCGTGACCAGTTACATGCTAATCCCTCACACTAACATCATGCTAATCTCCCAGTTACATGCTAATTTCTGACTTTAACACCCTGCTAATACAACACATTAACACAGCTACTTCAATGCTAAATTCTTCTATTGATATGTAAACTCCTTTGTCAAGGCGCTCTGCTCCTCCCACCCAGCTTAAAAGACGCTGCGAAGCTTAGCAGTGTTCATTGAAGCGCTGTCGTCCCGACAGTTCTGTTCCTTCACCTGAAGAAGGCTACTTGTGTTGTGGCCGAAACGTCGTGAGAATTTTATTTTATTATGTTTCATTTTTATTATTTTATTTCCATTCTACGTGACTTTACCAAAAGAACCAAGAAGATGAATCCCTGCAGTCACGAAAGCTTTAAATCGAAATTTAAGTGTTAACATACTAAGTGTTAACATGATAAGTGTTAACATGATAAGTGTTAACACAATAAGTGTTAACACAATAAGTGTTAACACAATAAGTATTAACAGTTTTCAGTTTATTTATTTGGTATAGCCCTGTGAGCCATTCGGCTCTTGAATCGGGTGCAACCACAACAAACAAAAAAACAAAAACAACAAAACATCTTAAAGTGACTGTGTGACTGTGCAAACAGAAAATCCATGAAAAGAACAGCAAAATATTCCTGAAAAAGCACCGTACACCAACGCTGTGTGCAAAAATCCCAGTGGAATGCAAGTCAAAACAACAACAACCACAAGACAACTTAGATTTAAGGCCATCAGTCTAACTCCGTACTACAACAAAACAAATATCTCCAAACCAAAAAAACTTTTCGAAATCACCAAAAAATAAAGCCATAATTGCAATGTAACAGTGATCATAGGGACTGTGACCGAATTTTTTACAATAAACTACATAAATAACATGTAACACCAAAACCTACAGCCATAGCTGGCTGCATGAGTTACTCCACAACAACAGAAGCATCAGTCGGAGTATCACATTTTTTAATGCACCTTTAAGATCAGCACTCCGGAGCAAAACATTTTATTTTCTTTTACGCCAATGAATGGCAGTGGCAGCTAGGGGTGTACAACTTCTCGAGAGCAGTTTTGAGAGAAGATCTCATTGGTAGCGATTCAAGTTGCAGTTTATTGGCAATAACATTCCAGACCCTGGGGGCATCAATAGCAAAGGCCCTTCCTCTAGTTTTCGTACGACAATAGGGAATGTGAAGCTGGTAAATGAGCGAAGACCTGAGGTCAAATTTGTTCTTTGAAACAGAGAGGAGATCCAGCAGGTAGTCTGCGGATTTTTTGTAAGTATATCGTGAATAAAT